TCCCCCCCGCCCCAGCTACCAGCAGATCCAACCTTGGGGCTTTGGAAACCCCACCCACCTGACTCCTAGTGGATCTACCCTGCTGAGGTTGGGCCAAAATCCAGGACAGACTGAGCCATATGACTTTGTGGTAGGTAACGTACCCACCACCTTCCCAGAAGCCTGACAAGCACCTGCCTCAGGGTAGATCCACTAGCCCCAGCCTCCGGACTCTGCCAGAGGCTCTTTCAATGACTGAGCCTAACAGCCAGCCAGCAGAGAGAAGCTATTTTCAAGGTGCCTTGGGACTTTGGGTGACCTACCTCTGGACATGGTGCTGAAAAAAGCCATCCTAGGTGTGCTGCTTGGACCTTCCCGCACACACCCAATCACACCAGAGGCAGCCGGCACACTGTGGATAACTTGTAGCTCCAAACAGGTTGCTGAAGGCAGGCGCAGATAGCGTCTGCCATTGGTCTGCACCAGAATCCCTCCCAACAGGCCCCAAACCAACACACGCAGTACCAGCTTCAGACATCAGAATAGATCTAATTAGCTTCAAAAACAGCATATCCACAGGGAGATCCTGGTGGGCACCAAACCCTGCTGAGGCTAATTCCACTTCGTGTGGTCAGCACCAGCATACCAGCTGACATGCCATGGTCGGGGTTGAGCCTCACAGTTAGGTAGTCTGAGAGTGGATCCCAGCACATGTGCGCCAATAGCAATCAAGATTCAATTACAACACGAAGGCCCACATAACCCCACAGGGGCGTTCCTAGAGTACTCAGCTCAGATGATCAAGGAGACTGTGCCACTGGGTCCCCCAGGACACCTACTGCATAAGGCCACCCCACAAAGACTGTGAGTCACAGATCTATCTACTACATAGAAACAGACACAAAGAGACAGCCAAAATGAGGAGAAAAAGATCCAGACCTCAAATGAAAGAACAGGAGAACACTCCAGAAAAAGAGCTAAATGAAATGGAGTCAAGCAACTTATCAGATATAGAGTTCAAAGTAATGGTTCTAAGGATGCTCAAGGAACTTAGTGAGAACTACCACAGCATGACAAAGGACATTGGAGAAGGATGTTTTTGGAGAGGAGAAAATGGCGGCTGAGTAGGCAGACCTGTCGGGCACCCATCCTAGGGCCAGGCTGGAAATACAACTAAATTGGAGAACATTCTTCTGGAATTTCCAACTGTGGTCTAGCTGAGGAGGTGACTTATAACAAGGAAGAACAGAAGGCACCTGGAGACGGGTAGGAAGGGCGAGATCGTGAGGGGGGATTGCCCAGAGCACACACCCACCTGGGGCCCGCAGCGACTGACCTGCGGCGCCTCCGGACCTGCGGCAGCCTGACCCACAGCGCCCGTATCATACAAGCAGCTACGAAAGGTCGCAAGACTGTTGGCATCAGTGGAGTCTAGACCCAGCAGACCAGAGCCAGTGGGGGAGAAAGCTGCATTTTTTATTCCCTTTTTAAACATTTTTAAAAATTTTATCTCTAAACCCAGAGCACAGGAGTTTTCATTTGCAACTACACACCCACGGCATTGGTGCAGGAAGGGAGGTGCGGACTTGAGGTGCCTGAGGTCAGGTGGGGGAGAGGAAGCAGTAGCCAGAAGTCCTGCACTGGATCCCTCAAATGCTTCCAAACCAAAACGGCCATTTTCCCTGAGAGGAACTACCTCCTCCAAACACCCAGAGGGCAGGTAAAGGAAAAAACCCTGCCCTGGGCGACACAGCCTGCCACACCCTGCATGTTGAGCTTACTGAGGGGACAAAGGCAGAGGCAAAGCTTAGGGGTCTGAACAGTCTCAAGGAGCCCTCAGTGACCGCAGTGGAGGCATGGCCATCGCTCCACTATTCTAGGAACCAGACTGATAGAAACCCCAGGGTTCCAGCTGATAAATGATGCTGAGGGAATGGGATATCCACATGCGAAAGAACGACATTGGACTTTTACCTTACACCATCTGCAAATATTAACACAAAATGGACCAAAGACCAAACGTAACAGCTAAAACTATATAAAACTTTAGATCGGTGGTTCTCAACCTTCTGGCCCTTTAAATACAGTTCCTCATGTTGTGACCCCAACCATAAAATTATTTTCGTTGCTATTTCATAACTGTAATGTTGCTACTGTTATGAATCGTAATGTAAATATCTGATGGTCTTAGGCGACCCCTGTGAAAGGGTTGTTCGACCGCCAAAGGGGTTGCGACCCACAGCTTGAGAATCGCTGCTTTAGATGAAAACAAAAGAATAGTCTCATGATATTGAAGTTAGTAACAAGTTTTTGGTTACTAGCTTCAGTAGTAACCAAAGGAAAAAAAATCAAAATTAATCAAAATTAAAATCTTTTGTGTGTCAAAGGATGCTGTCAACTTAATGAAATACAATTCACAGGATTTGAAAAAATGTTTGCAAATCATATCAGATTAGAACCCTCTGTGTATAATTCTGGAAAATGTAAAATGTTGCAGCTACTGTGGAAAACGGAAAAAAATTAAGCATAGAATTACCATGCCCAGTAAATCCACTTTGGCTATATTCCCTAAGAAATGAAACCAGGAACTGAAATACTTATACAACTATGTGGACAGCTGCATTATTTAAAATAGGCAAATGAGTGAATAACCCAATTTGTCCATCTAGGGATGACTGAAGAAACTAAAGGTGGTATAATCACACAGTGGAATATTATTCACCTTTCAAAAAGGGAAATTCTGACACATGCTACAACATGGGTGAATCTTGAAGATATTGTTATGTGAAATAACCAGGCACAAAAAGACAGACATCACGTGATTCCACTTATGTGAGTTCGCTAGATAGTCAAATTCACAGATAGAGAAGATAGAATAGCCATTGGCCGGGACTTGGGGGAGGGAGGAATGCAGAGTTATTGTGTTCTAGGTACCAAGTTTCAGTCTGGGAAGAATGAAAAAGTTCTGAACATGGATGGTGGGGATGGTTGCACAACAATGTGAATGGACTTAATGCCACTAACTGTACACTTAAAATTGTTAAAAAGACACATGTTTGTTATATACATATCACCACAGTAAAAATGAAAAGCACACAAAAAATACTATGCATCTGATATTGCTTCTGGAAGGTTTATTAATTAGTCCTAAATAGGAATTAGTTTACAAGTCCACATAAACATGGCACCATTTTTATCAAAAGATTTCAAAATCTGCATAGAAAATGGGGAAGTGGGAAGGGAAATGAGGTATTGATAATATTTTTTCTAGAAAATATATTCAGCAATGAACATTTTTTTTGTAATAAAATGAGCAAACATATATTTCTGGTTTGTGCTCCTTAAAGTCTTAATGATGTACATTAACATTTAATATATAAATATATTTTCACAAACTGTCATTTAAATCCTGACATTAAATGTAAATTAAAAATCATTGCTTGGCAGGTGGGACTCAGTGGTTGAGCTTCGACTTATGAACCAGGAGGTCACGGTTCTATTCCAGGTCAGGGCACATGCCAGGGTTGCAGGCTCATCCCCAGTAGGGGGCATACTGGAGGCAGCCAATCAATGACTCTCATCATTGATGTTTCTATCTCTCCCTCTCCGAAATTAATAAAAATATATATATTTTAAAAAATCATTGAAGTAAATGTCACTAAAGTAAATTTCTTAAATTAAACCTCAAGAAAAGCTCGTTGAGGAAGGCATAACAACCCATAACACAGAGAGTGGGGAGGTAAAAGCAGTTTCTATTTTCCTCCTTTATTAAACCACATTTTTCTGTAAACACCTCCTTTCTGTGGAGTTTGAGAGAAGCCTGTGATGGAGAAAATCCCTGCCTGGGGAAGGCAGGACAGGAGCACTAGGAATGCCAGCCTTCCCTGGAGACCCTCCCGTCTGTCCCCTTTCCTCCGAGGATCTGGGCCTGACCATCAGGTCTGCGTTTGGGGCATTGTCATTCCGCTCGATTCCTCCCGAACCCAGCTGCGCCCACCTGTGAACAGTGAGCGCATCTGTCCGCGGGCTCTTCCTGCCAGCAGCCCGCCCCGCGGTTTGCTGCGGGATAAACAGGAACCGCTGGACCAGATGTTACTGTCTCCGCGCCCCCGAGATTTTAACCAGGACGAGGACCCGAGCGCACTCGGGTTACCCTGACATCCACTCGGGGCATCCCATCGCTTTTTTTCGTAACCCCCTGCGCACATAAACTCGGGGTATTTAGTTGATCCTCACAGTTGTCCGGAGGCCCCCAGCTCGCCTTCCCCAGAGTCCACTGAGGTAGGTGCCCTCTGCTCTGGGACAAGCTGGGACCTAGTGTCCTCCGGAGTCCCAGCACCCGAAGTCCCGCCCACTGCCGGCTCAGCCAATCCCGGTGCGAGCTGGCGGTGGGGGCGGGGCGGGCCGGGGCGGATCCCCGGGGCCTTAAATGGGCGGCCCGGCGGCCCCAGCCTCGCCCCGGAGATTCCTGGACCCGCTCGTGCCGACTGCTGTTTGCGCAGCTGCTCCCTCCGCAGGTGAGCACGCCCTCCCCCCGCGCCGCCTTCAAGCCTGCGCCTGGAGCGGCAGGGCCACCCCGAGAACTAGGGCCGCCGCCAGCCTTGGGGGTCGAGGGTGTGGGGGTCCCAGAGTCGAGGTCCCCAGGTCTGACCGAGCGGACCGCGGAGTGGTGGGGGCCGCTGCTCCCTGCACCAAGTCAGCATCCTCTGGCAGTGGTGGTTGTGTGCGGGGAGGGGGGGGGGGCGGGGGGCGGGCTGGGAGGGCAGCATGCCTCTGGCAGGGTGGGTCTGCTGCACCTGAGTACCTGACCCTGAGCTGGTTCCCTGACCCCGGGGGAGCCTCACCTTCTCTAGGCTTGGGAATGGGGGTCTCCGGGCTGTTTTTCTCCACCCGCCTCCTTAGCCTTCCTCCACAGTCCTTGTGTACTTACTTGGGAGGGTCCATTACATGTTTTACTCCAGGTGGCTGTAAGGTCTCAGGGGAAGGATCGGTCTAATCAGAGACCCATTTCTCTTCCCTTCCTAGGTTTTCGAAACATGAATCCTTCACTCCTCCTGACCGCCCTTTGCTTGGGAATAGCCTCGGCTGCTCCAACACTTGATCACAGCGTAGACGCGCAGTGGAACCAGTGGAAGGCAGCACACGGGAAACTCTATAACGAGGTTGCTAACAGCCGAAACGGTCCAGAGGGACCACCCAGAAAATGGTTCTTGCTGTTGGGAGTTTAGAGCGGAGAGTAGCTTCTTGAGACTGGCTCTTAACAGGCCATAACTTCACGGCCCCGTTACTGACACCATGGGGCATGCATCCCGCTGCCGGGTGCTGGAGAACAGCTCCCAGACGTGTCCAACCTCCCCTGACAGTGGTTTGTGTTCTTCTGTCTGCAAATCCCCTTGGTGAGGGTAGGTTGGGTTTTCAGTAGAAACGAAGACAACGTGGTATGCGCTTGCCTCTAGAGTGAAGAAGGATGGAGGAGAGCGGTGTGGGAGAAGAATATGAAAGTGATCGAACTGCACAATTGGGAGTACAGCCAAGGGAGACGTAACTTCACCATGGCGATGAATGCCTTTGGCGACATGGTGAGTGTGGCATCAGAGGCTGCGCTTTTGGTGCTTCCTCTCCTCAGTACTTTACCACAATAATCTCTTCCTTTATGACATTCTGTGTCTTTTTCCTTGAAGACCAGTGAGGAATTCAGGCAGGTGATGAATGGTTTTCAAAACCAGAAGCACAAGAAGGGGGAAATGTTCCAAGAACCGGCCTTAGCTGAGATCCCCCCATCAGTGGATTGGAGAAAGGAAGGCTGTGTAACTCCTGTGAAGGACCAGGTAGGACCGTGTCCAGCAGATCATCTGTTCTCCAGGAAGGAGTACAGCCGTAAAGGCGTTGCTCTCCATGAAGTGGGAGGCTGTGGAACAATGTGCAGTTTGCTATTTTTAAAAACAGTTTCCAGATATAGCGTCTGTTGTCAAAGTCTTGCTATTGGTTTTGTAGAATGAGCACTTTTGAATTTTGTTTTCAGGGTGTGTGTGGTTCTTGTTGGGCTTTTAGTGCAACTGGTGCCCTTGAAGGACAGATGTTCCGGAAAACTGGCAAACTGGTCTCACTGAGTGAGCAGAACCTGGTGGACTGCTCTCGCGCTCAGGGCAATAAGGGCTGCAGGGGTGGCCTCATGGATAATGCCTTCCAGTACGTCAAGGACAACAAAGGCCTGGACACAGAGGAATCCTATCCGTATTCTGGAACGGTAAAACACGTGCCTTATCATTCTAGCTCTGCTTTTGAGTGTTGAGCACTTCAGAGAAAACACCATATTTAGAATTCACATTTTAGGCTGGAGAATCTGTATCTACAAACTGTCGGAGCTGCACAGTTCTCTGTTTAGATGGTTCCTGCTGCTGTGTTACATGAGATTTACATACCATTCTCTAGATAGGAAAAGTTTCTCATGGCCAGGGAGACTGAGAATGTCTCGTTGAATATACACACCAGCTGGTTCTTCAATTTCAAAGCAACCGATAGCACTTCACCTCCTGGGATGCTTTATAACAAACTTGACTGAGAAATCATTAAACTGCCAATTGTCTTGAACTCATGTTCCCCGGGAGGTGCGATATAATCACGTCTCTTCCCTTTTACCTTTAAAAGGATGACACTTGTAAATACAAGCCTGAGTTTTCTGCTGCCAATGACACTGGTTTTGTGGACATCCATAAGAACGAGAGGTCCCTTATGAAAGCAGTGGCAAGTGTAGGGCCCATTTCTGTTGCTCTGGATGCAAGCCTTGAGTCCTTCCAGTTCTATGAAAAAGGTGAGGATTTGTCTTTATATAAATTCAGGCAGAAATATTATAAAACCACCCTGACATACAGCAAGACCGACTCTTCGGCATGTAGAATTCCTGGATGTGTGGATTTAACATAGTTGTGCATTTTACAGATGTAATATTTGTGCCAGATGTTGTCCATCTGACATGACTTAAACCATATCCCCATGATTTTAAGTGCTTCATAAATATATCAAATGGCTACATAATTTGGCTGATAGAGCTTCATTTACTTTACTTTTAAAAAGTTGTTAGACCTTTAAAATATTCCAAGAATTTTGCTACTGAAATGAAAACTGGAAAAAAACCTTGGCTCAAGTAGTTTTGTGTTTTGTTTGTTTTCTTAGATTGACATCCTAAAAGTAGAATATGTTTTCAACCAGTGGTCTTTTATGCCTCTTGATAAGTTGTTTCTAAAAGTGATCGTGGCAATTTGTATTTCTCTTAGTATTACAGGAGCGCCTAACTCCCAGCCTAGATTCTTAAAAAATCTTGTTTTTAAATATTACCTGGATTTATGTACTCTAACTGAATGTTGAGAGGCCTCTCTTACTGTGGTTGACAGGCAAAATTACTGTCAGTTCTTGCCTGGAGATCTTCACCCCAGCAATGACTTCTGTTCTCCTAGGCATTTATTATGATCCGGATTGCAGCAGCGAGGACCTGAATCATGGTGTTCTGGTGGTTGGCTATGGCTTTGAAGGAGTAGAAATGGATAACAATAAATACTGGATTGTCAAGAACAGGTATAAAATGCCAGAAATACTTATATTTGATTTTGGAAAGGGAATCCCAAGCTTGCTAGGGCATCGATACCATTTTGGTACCAATGCATTTCTAAATTTGAAAATGTTCTTAATTCTGAAACACACCTGGCCCCAAGAGTTCTCTTTTTCAATTTCTAATTTTGCAGTTCTGTGAAAGGTTTGGGGATAGAATTATATGCAGGTTTGGAACCCAGCCATGAGCAAGAACTGTGGTCTCTCCTGCTTCTTTCTGAATCGGTCTGGGCCTCAGGCGCACTGTTTAAGCAACAGGTGTTATTGTTGATAAACATCGATGTGTTTGGTTACTTGTATAAAATGGAAACCCTCTCTTCTTTCAGCTGGGGTACAAAGTGGGGCATGGATGGCTACATAAAGATGGCCAAGGATCTGGACAACCACTGTGGGATCGCCTCCCTGGCCTCCATGGCCAGCTATCCTATTGTGTGAGATGGTGGTGATTGAGATGTGATTAAGAACAGAATAACCAGAGGATGAATATTATCTCATCAGAACCCTGGCCGATGTGGGTCAGTGGTTAGAGTGTCAGCCCAAGCACCCGAGGGTCTCGGGTTCAATTTCCAGTCAAGGGCATATACTTGGGTTGCAGGTTTGATCCTGACCCCAGTGAGGGTCTGTGCGGGAGGCAACCAATTGATGTGTCTCTCTCACTTCGATGTTTCTTTCTTTCTCTACTCTCTCTACCTCCCTCTCTCCTGTCCATTCTCTCTCTAAAAATAAATAAATAAATAAATAAATAGGAAAAACTCCTCAGGTGGCAATTATTAACAACAACAGCAAGAAAACAAACAAACAAACAAAAAACCAAAACCCTGCTCAGACCTGTGGGATAAAACAGTTGAGTCATTGAATATCTAAGCTGTGATTTGAATTCTGCAAGATTTTACACTGGTAAAATGTTCCACTTATTTAATTATTGTGTTAACAGTTTGTATGATTGACTTGCCTAATAACTTTTGCATTTTTATGTTTAAAAAGGATGTACGCATTTTTATCTTTTAAAATAAAACTTTCAAAATAGAGGTGGAGCTTCTATTTGTTTTTAAATGGTGAACATTTTGTATAATGGAAAATGTAATTGGGCTCTAGAGCCGTAACTGAATGTGCTAGTGGTCCATTGGAGAAGGGCTGGGGCCTTCTGGCCGTTCTCCTTATAACCAGGCAGATCTCAGGTTCGTTGTCCCTTGGCTGTGTCTGACTCAGCTCTTGAATGGAGCAAAATTTAACAAATGATCCATAAAGAACAAAAGTAAGTTATTTTAATAAATAAAAAATTCACATATTAAATAGGAGATTACACATACATAGGATTTCCAGACTAGAAAGGCACTTGAGAGGTCATGGCCATTTGACACAAGATGGTTACAGACCAGCTGAGTGACAGGACAAATGTCACAGGGCCAGTTTCTGAAGCATCCTCTCCAACTGTTTGTAAGACCATGTGGCCTCTTTGCAGTTGAGAAAGGACACAACATAGAGGATTGCCAAGAATGTTTGTCTTTGGGGCCAGAAGGGGTGAAGGATGAGCTCCTGGATTTGAGGCTGGGCTTCAAAATTAGTGCTGTGGCCTCAGAGGTGGGTGAGAGGTGAGAGGGTCAAAGTGATAGTCAGGCCTAATTTATACCTAGCTACCTTATCTCTGAATTTATTTCAAAACAAAACAAAAACAGCAACCTAATTCTATATTCTGCAGGCCAAAGAAGCACATAGTTCCATTTGTTGTCTGTTTCCACTCAAGGAAATATAAAGAGCAGGTGGAAGTATTTAGTTAATAGACCCCACAATTCCTTATGAAGACACGAAGTGTAGGACACCTGGGGACTCGGCCCCAAGGCCTCCAGCAGCCTCTGTCCAAGTCCGTCTGTCCTGGACCATGTGCCCTGCTGGACCCTCCGTGTGGCCTTCCCTTGAGGCCTTTAAATTTACAGCTCTGTGACCTAAAGTGACAAATGTGTTTAGAGTGAAACTCTGTGGGTTCTGTGGTCAGACTAACAAGTGTGTTCACAGGAAGATTTGGGAGGCTCCCAAGCTGAACCCCTTTTGCTGCTTGGCACCTATACTGAAACATCTGGAGTCTATGCACCCCCACTGTGCCCCAGTCATCACTGTGGGAGTGACAAGCGGGAGCTGGTGCTTTAGGGAGAGGGAGGCCCGGGAACTCCAGCAGGAGGAGGAATCTGACATGAACCCAGGGAGCCAGGCAATGAGACAGGATAGAGGTGGTGTCTGAGCAGAGACTGGTGGACAGCATCCCTGAGAAAAGAGAAACCATGTTTAGGGAAAGCGGGGAGAGACTGAGCTGAGGTGTGGGAGATGAGGCTGGGTCCACACGTGGGTTTTACAGACACACGGACCACTGGGAGTGCGGTGAAAAGACTGTTCCGGTTATCTGTTTCTGTAAAACACTACCCCAAACATTGCAGCTTAACAGTAACCATCTTTCCCACTTCCTGTCTGGCTTAGTGGGGTGTTACCACTGGAAGTCTCTCCTGAAGGCCTGAATTGTCTGTAGGTCTGGCGGGCTCACAGCCAAGTGGACTCACGTCACTGTCCCAGATGCTGCTGACCGGAGCACGTGCACAGGCCACAGCATGGAGACTGCCCCTGAGAGGGCTGCCCCTGGAGGCGGGGTGCCAGGACGCCCAGGGAGGACCTGCAAGGCTACTGAGGACCGTGTGTACCCCCAGTGGAGTCTCTGCGGCTGTATTGTAGTTGGGGGATGTCACAGAGGGAGCCCGGATTCCAGGGAGGGGGCTGGGTTGAGGTCACTAGCAGAAGAGCATGGGACATGGAAGCTATGGTGGTGGTCACCTTTGGAAAATGCAAACTTGCACAGTTCATCTTGAAAAATCCACTGGAAAGGGTGTCTGGGAATGTCAGCTTGCTTCACCGTAACAGGCCAGCTCAGGCTGCTGTCCCTGGAATTCCGGAAGTTCACACCAAGATAGAGTGAGACCTCTCAGATGTCCAAATGATTAAACACATATAAGGTTTTGTCATTTTTAAAGACATTCATATTTAAACTTGGGGAAAGTTTCAAACTAAATGATGTCTAAATGATTAAACAGATATCAGAAGTTTCTGAAACTTTCAAAGACATACTAACTTGTGAAGAGTTCCAAGCCATAGCTATATTTTTAAAATAGGTCAATGAACATAGATTAAATAAAGCTGAAAACAAATTTCATTACACAAAAGTCTTGTCTGAAACATAAACTTACTATCAGAAGCTGGAAGAGGCAGCAGAAGTTTCAGCTTCCACAACCTCAGAGGAAGTATTGCCCCACAGACACTCTCGGTTGGAATTCTAGCCTCAAGACGGTGAGAATCAAGCCTGTGTGATCAATGGAATGTCAGCCCCGGGCACTGATGCTCCTGTGCACAGCTGGACTGTGTTCTCCTCAGCGGCCCAGGGACCCAGCTGGCCCCAGCCGGTCAGGACCAGCGGGACAAGTCAGACTTGCTGACCATCCAGGCAGGACAAGTAAAAAATCTATCCGCTCTAAATGGTTCTCAGCCATACATTACGTGCAACAAGACCGAGTTTTATTTTGACAAGTTTTCATCTAGTGTCTTAGGATTCCGCTGAGCTCAAAATATCTTACCATCCACAGGGGAATCAAGTAAGACAGGAGACATTTAAGAAACCCAACAGGATGTAGCATGGGCAGCACGGGTAGCAGTGAATTTAGGGATCTGCCAAGCAGAAAAAAAGGCACAAGAAGGTTTGGGAATCTTTTGTCTCCTCACATGTCCTCTCTCATCTAAATCTAGCACTGGCTGGGTTCCATACCGGAGACCAAGGATACCTTATCGAAAAGCATTCTCACTCATCAAAATGCACTTAAGACACATGTTGCTTCTTTACTCTCTGGTCCAGTTTTCATGGGATGACATCAAATGTTTTCTGTTTTTCTTTTTGAGAGAGAAAAGATCATGAGAAACATATGAAAGATACATGGCAATGATGGAAATAGGACTTAATATTAGATACGCTCCTCAAAAAGTAGTGGTGACCCAAGATGGCCTACCTCAGCGTGGGGACTATAGCTGGTCTTTTTGGCACCGAAGTCCTGACCTTTGACAGGAAGTCCTCTTTTAGACCATGGCCTCTGGGTTTTGTGCTCTGCCCCTGGGGCGACTCATGGAGGTAGTACTCCTGGTTGGCACTTCCGCGCTTACCACCGTCATTCTCCCTGCAGTCTTGGGAGCCTTTGTCACATGATTGCCATGCTGTCCTGGGTGTCAGTCTCACTTCCAAGAAGAAGATAGGTTCCTGGGGATGAGCTGCATTTCCCAACGGAAAGCCCAGAAAACACAGTCTCCAGCAGAGCTAACCATTTCCCTACTGGGAACCTTCATTTATCTTCTTCCCACGCATCTTCCCAGCCATCAGTGTGGATCAGGCCATTCTGAGAGGTGGTGAGATACCAGCAGGGAAGAAGGATGCCCAAAAACTCAAATACAGTATTTTGTAATGTTTTGGAATATTCTTTTACTTTAACTGTCTTTGTACGTGTTTTCTCTGCCCTTCCCTGTGGGCTTTCTCCCAGGTGTACACCAGGCTCTTCCCTTTCATCTGAATGTGGCTGAACTGTCACCCTCTCCATGAAGCCTGTCACTGCCCAGAACTAAAATTAGAATAACCTTCCCTAGCATTGCTCTTCTCTTCCCTGATTTATTTTTCCCACAGTTTTTATACCACCTGACACACACTTTCATTTTATTTATTGCTTTTGTTTATTGTGTCTCTGCACACATTAGCATTGAGTCTATATACAGATCCAGGAGTTTTGTTCACCTCTCTATTCTCAGCACTGAGGACAGGTCCTGGCAAACAGTAGGCACACAAGAAAACCTGCTGCCAAGATGAAATGACCTCGCTGCGTTATGTACGAGTACATTGTCAGGGTTTTAAGAGTCAAGCAGTGAAGTAAAGCAAATTCCCTTTTGGTACTCTATCCTCCAACACACATCCCTCTTCCTCAGGGAAATAACCAAAATTAATTCACTGATAGTAATAGTCCTTTTTTCTTGGTCTTTACCCAAAAACACATGCAGTTTTGTTGGGTGCTTTTTAAAATTTTTACAAAAATGGCATTCTCTCATATCTGTGAAATGCCCTTTTCACCTACCATTTATAGCTGAGTCATATGTCCTTGTTTGTATTTCAGACTGAGATGGTTAATTTTTTTTAATCCTCACTCAAGGATATGTTTATTGATTTATTTTTTAGGGAGAGAGGAAGGTAGACGGAAAGAAACATTCATTAGTTGCCTCTTGTACACACCCTGACTGGGGATCAAACCCGCAGCCTAGGTGTGCACCCTGACCTGGAATCAAACCCAAAACGTTTTGGTGTATGGGACAACACTCCAACCACCTGAACCACCAGGTCAGGACACTGAAATGGTTAATTTTAAGTGTCAACTTGGCTAGACAATGGTGCCCAGTTCTTTGGTCAAACACTACTCTGGAGGTTGCTGTGAAGTTACTGTGTAGAAGTGAATAACATTTACAATCAGTTGAATTTAAGTAAAAAAAGGAACTGGACACCTAATGCAAAAAAATGAAACTCCACCACTATCTTACACCATACACAAAAATTAACGCAAATGGATCAAAGAGGCCTTTTCAGACGTTTATTGACTATTTGTGTTTACTCTTCTGAAAATTGCAGTTCTATATCTTTAGTTTATTTCTTTATAGATAGTTTATCTTTTTCCTCTTAATATTTATTATTCTTGATACTCATTTTTGTTATATGTTACAAATATTTTCTCTTAAGCTATCAGTTTTTTTAGAGAATTGCATTTATTTAATTTTTATTATTTTATATATTTTTATTGATTTCAGAGAGAAAGGGAGAGGGAGAGATAGAAACATCAATGATGAGAGAGAATCATTGATCAGCTGCCTCCTGCACGCCCCCAACTGGGGGTTGAGGCTGCAACCTGGGCATGTGCCCTTGACCAGAATTGAACCCAGGGCCCTTCAGTTCGCAGGTCGACACTCTATCCACTGAGCCAAACCGGCCAGGGCTATCAGTTGTCTTTTAACTTTGTGGTGTGTTGATTTTATTTTGATGTAATCAAATCTCTTTTTTCTTTATATCTTTTCCTTTGTGTCTTTTGGTCCCATTCAAGGTCATAAATATAGCACCATTATCTTTTTGCAATACCTTTATATTTTTATTTTTATATTTAATTCTGGAATTAATCTGCAATATGTTTGGGGGATCTAGTTTTATATTTTTTTCTCAAATGACTAGCTAATTATTCAAACACCACTCATTTCCCCCCACTAATTTGAAAAAGTATGTTTTCTTCTTATTTTTAAAAAGCACCTATTAAAATGATGATATGACTTTCCTCCTTTCAGTGTGTTAACTGCCTCCAGTTGCTGAAGCCTGTCTCCCCAAAGTATAATGGAAACCAGTGAATGATCCCACCTTTCCCATGTGGGGAATGCACACCTGTACAGTCCACTTTTGAGAAATGCTTGAAAATGGAAAGGAAAGTGGGTTTCGCCCTTGGGAAGCCAACCAAGAGGAAATGAGAAACCAAGAGGGAAAGGGTTCTCCGCTCACGTGGGCCAGAGAGCCCCCTCAGTGGTCTTTCTGGACCTTGGCTATGGAAGCACCGGTCACCCAGGCCCCATTGCCCCATTGGCCTGGCATCTTTGATCTGTAGCCTCTGAGAATGGCATGGGAGTCCCATACTCTTCCCTCACCCCCTTTCTTGGGCTTGATGGGAAGAAGAATGCACATGACTGGTGAATGGACCTTTCCCGGAGCCACCACTGCCATCCATCAAAGCAACGTACACTATGATTGAAAATGCTCTCAGCTTTGTTTCCAAGAAAACCTCCTCTTCCTGGCTCTGTAGTCTTTACATTACATGCTGTAAACTCAGCAAGTCACGGTATTCATGAGATTTTGAAATGAAGATTTCAGTGAAAGTTTGAGTTGCACACCCAGCCTCCTCAAGGGTCTAGATCTCAGGCAGGTTAAAAAATTAACCATTTGAGATATACATTTCAAATAGAGTGTCTAATAAAGCATTCATAGCCCACTGATTAGAATCAGGATTTTTTTCCGAAGAAAAGACATTCTTTGTTCCTTTATAGAAAGATGAAAAAATTTTAATTTATGTATTAAAATGTGGCTGCCTCTGTTACTGCAGCCAAGCCACAGTGGACTGAAGAACAAGGTTGAGTCCTGAATTAGAGTCAAGTGGAAATCTTCCTTTGGATTGAATGAACACCCTGACCCAAGGAGAGCCTTGCTTCTTCCCATGGCTTCTCCTGGGCCCCACCTCCACACCGCCACCTTTTGCCTTAACCTAATGCATCAATCACTTTAGTGGATTTTCTAATGTGAATCATTCTTGATTTTTCTGAGTTAAGTCCGACTGCATTCTGATGCATCTTTGTTTTAAATACTTCTGGATTTGATTTGTCCACATTTCATTAAGGACTCTTGGCATCCAACTTCATACACATATATAGCAGTTCTTGTTAAAACCAGCTCAGATTTCTGATGCACATGACACCCATCCCAATGTTGATATAATTGGACAGATGGAGAGTCATCTAACTAGTGCACTCTGGGGAACCCCTGGGGTTGATTACAATATTTTCCCCCAAAAACAAAAATGCAAAGTCAGGGGGTTGAGAAAAGTAGGTGTTAATTTTTAAATATTAGCTCCATTTAGTATGTTGCCTTCACAATAGGTGTTCTTATTTTTCCATTCATATTTTTACTAGTCGTTCAACTTATTGCTCCCCCAAAATGGATCAATCTGACAGTTTAGAATTTAATAGCCATGAGTTGTCAGCCATACACACACACACACACACACACACATACACATACACATACATACATACATACTAGGGACCCGGTGCATGAATTCATGCACCTTGAAAGGAATTGTGGGCCACGAGGCTGCAGTAGGCACAGGGGTGCATCTCAGCCCATCCTCTGCATCACTGCCCGGCCCCTCCTGCCATGGCCCCTGGTCCCCTGTCTGCCAGCAGCCCTGCTCCCACTGCTCCCACGTGCTTGCACCTGCGGTGCGATTGGGGCTGGCACCAGCAGCAGGTGCGAGCACCAGGCAGGACCTCAGCGTGCGGGAGCAAAGAATTTTCAGTAACCACCAGAGGCTCGTCCCAATGACAGCAACCGGTGCCCCACCTTGTTCAGGCGCCCCTGCTCACCTGCTCCACCATTCCGCCTCAGCCAATGCCTGCCATGTTCTACGCACGCCCCCTGGTGGTCATGGCACGTCATAATGACCAGTTACATATTAGTCTTTTATTATATAGGATATACATTTAAATATATACATAAAGTATGTATATATTCAATATATATTTTTATTTCATAAGAAATAAAATGAATCACTACAGGATAAGACACTAGGTTCAAATATTAAGCCAACCAAGGTAAATTCTTTACTGATCTCTGTACTTTTTCCCCCCAAGTAGATAGCTACCGATTACTTGAGCTGACAGACTTAGAATTACAACCATTTTTTGCCACCACTCATGACAAAAGACAAATCAAAGTTGTTCTTTTCACATGTGGACCTTTATTCTTAGCCATGTGCACTGAGGACAGAGTCTCCTCTGGCCTCTAGACCTGTCCTGAGCAGGTTGATGCTGCTTTTCTGTTTGTGGTTGGGTGGACTGGCCTGTTGTGACTCATCACCACTGTTTCTGCCTATCAGTCATTTCGGGTTCTTAATGCAGAGGACAAGACAAAAAGCAGAGGGCTTGCAGGGTCAGACTCACTACTTGCCTGCCTGGTTTCTCTGTACACAGGTGAGATATTCCTGCACATCATCCGGGGACCCCAGAATAAGGGGGGCTCGTTGGTGAATGGCCTCGGGCTTCACGTCCAGCACCGGCTGGGTACCTGTGGTCGCCAAGCCCCCCGCCTGCTCAATGATGAAGGCCACGGGATTGCACTCGTACAGGAGCCGGAGCTGCAAAGAAAGGGTCAGGCAGGTTGCAAGTTGCCCCAAATCTCAAGCCCTGCCCCTGAAGCTGGATGCAGAATTCCCACCGCTGGACTTCTGCCTGGTCAGTGCAGTGGGCTCCAGCCCCTCTGCAGAGGGGGCTGCCCGAGATCTAGCGCCTCGGGAAGGTTGCTGGGTACATCAGCTGCTGAGCAGGGCATGGGCCTTTGCAGGCACCGCTGCTCAGCAGCTACCTGACTTGTGACCTGTGAGAGACCTGCCTCTTCACTCGGGCAGATGAGATCTCAGTGCCCCTTTCTTGCCAGTTTCCTCAGGAGGGAAACTGAAGCTGTGGCCTGGTTAGAGGCGCTGTCGGTGAGAAAGCAGGCTTGGCTGGGGTTGGAAGGTCACCTCAGAGTGCTGGGTGCCCTCCCAGGATAGCCCCAGTGTCCCGGGGAGCGACAAGGAACTCCAATCTCAAGTGTCCACTCGGCTGAGCAGTGTGCTGGTACTTACATTGCCTTTTTTTGGCCCTTAAACTAAATGAACTCGCGTTGCTTACAGCACACAGCATCCTGCACGTCCCCTCTCACGGTCTGGCAGTGAGGCTTGCCACCTGCCTTCCTCCTGGTCACCCGCCCTGAGGGCAGGCACAGCATCTACCTGGGTCACTGTGACATCTCCAGTCCCAGTACTGCCGACACAAAGAGAGTGTCCAAACAAGGCTGCCACAGACCTCGCCCTAGGGCTCCCGGGAGATGGCAAAAACGGGGGGTGGGGGTAAAAGTGGCCGTGCACTGCTTGCCAAGCTGTGCCCATGGACCCAGGGCTGAGCCTGTTTCGAACAAGGACTACCTCTTGTAAAAAGGCTTGATGGAAACTAGCAGGTGACCTCCCGTGTCAATAATTCATGGCGAGTTGAACTGAAATGGGCTGGAACGAATGTCCTTTTTGGGTCTATTTATGTAATTATGTTGTGACGCCCTCCTCAGACTACCCCCACCAGACACTCACACACACACACACACACACACACACACACATTAGATTCAAGGTGACATTCTAGCTAATTTTTCTGACTTGGTACCATTCTATCTTCTCCTTCTTTCCCCCGTAGATGCAAAATCTATAATTTCTAAAGTCCCTTTTCTATAATCAGCTTAGAAAGTGGTTGACCCAGCACTATGCAGCCTTTTCCTTTCTTTCCTTCACATTTATTTTGAAGACATGTTGAAACTACTTGGAGAAACAGCCATGTCTGGTGCTGATGGTTTTATTTTTGTTATTGCATGGGGAGGAATGAAGCGTGTCTGGTCTGGGTTGGAGAGCCAGGCACCCAGGAGAGAGTATGTTCAGACTCTGGGGCATTTACTTGCTATTTTGGTAAAACAGAGTACAATGCCCTCACCTAGACCTCCTGCCCTTAGAGCCGTGGGCAGCCTGGGGGGCACAGCGGAGCCCCAGCACGTGTGGGCACCTTGAGTCCGCTGGTTTTGTCCCTGATCATCCACAGAAGGACACTGGAGGCCATGCTGTCCTGGACAGGCCACCAGGGAGACTCTGGCCGGCAACTTGCAGAGCTGGGCTCTTTCCTCCCCTCTCCCTGGCCCTGGGGGTGAGGGCAGGGCTTTTGGGTGTCAGACACTAACGTCCCAGTTGTAACCAACTGACCTTTGTTTGTACCTTGTTGATTCGGACACTTCAGAATCAGACAAACAAAGCACAGCGTTCTCACACAGTTTGTCCTGGAGCCAAGGTTTGCTCTGACCTTAAGGGCCCAGGGGTGTAATAAATCCTCTGAAACAGTGCCCAGGGCGTCATGGTGCCTTGGCCTGTGGGCCTCCCAATCTATATTTTTCTGCAGTTAAAATCCACACGGCTCTACAATAGCCTCACATCCACTCATGGGAAACACACCTCATTGATGTTCTACCTGCCCACTCACGGACAGGCATGCCCAGGCCAGGCGCAGCCGAAAAGCAGGTGCGAAGAGAAGGGGAACGCCGCTGGCTCCCTGACTGGGGATAGCCAGTGGACAAGGGAGAATTACCTTGCCCTTAGGGTTCTTCTGGTTCGCTGGGTATAGGAAAATCCCTCCATAGACCAGGGTGCGGTGCACATCGGCCACCATGGAGCCCACATACCTGGCCCCATAGGGCGCCCCGCTGTCCTAGAAAGCAGAGAGGGAAGAGACAAGATGCAGTGAGTTCTGCAATTAGCTAGCAACCGCCCCCGGTCACCAGTCCAGTGGTGTGGCATCTGCATTCCAGGTTCTTCGTCCTGCACCCAGCAGCGTAGGAATTGAAAAACATTATATCACTAAGCATTTCATTCAGTAGGAGCCCCCATAGCTTGACCAGTGATTGAACTCATTCAATGAGGACTACTTCAATTAAGACACTGCACCCTGACACAATCTTAAGAGAACAGCTATTTTTTTAAAAAGGAAGTATATATTGCATAAAAGCAGATATGCCACCCCAAAATATGTCACATGGGCATATGGACTATTTTCAATTAAAGTTCCTTGAGAACTAGCCGTGCAAGAAGGGCACTCTGACCCCCCTTTGTCCCCCGAAAGCAGGAAATTACTCTCCCATGCGAAAGGTACCCTCCCCGTCCCAGGAGGGAGAGCCATCCTTACAGCAGAGGCAGGGAATTTAGGGCTGAGAAGGCTGTATCCACAGACCTGGCTACGTCCTCACTAATTTACTGCCCTACACCCCCTTCTCTGTCCTCTCAGTCCTCCACACATTTATTGTTTCCTTGTCTGAAAGGAGCTTCGGTCATTTGAGTTCACATTTCTGTGGGCTCCCATAAGTACAAACTTAAATCTGTTTTCTCCTGTTAATCTGTCCGTTTAGTTAGTAGACCAGCCAAAGAACCGAGAAGGGAAGAAGAGAAAGGTTTCCCCCCTTGTGATTCACACAGTTGCTGGGCAGCCCCTGAAACTCCCTGGCGTGCCGCGCTTCAGAGCTCTCTCTGCTGCCCGAGAGCCAGGCCCCTTGAACAATGACGTTTGCACTTACTCCAAGCATGTTCACCACGGGCAAACTCTTAAGCAGCTTTAGAAACCATTTCTCACTTAAAATAGTGTATAAAAGTGTTATCATTTCAATGTGTGATCCATAGAAAACAGAACCCAGGCGTGATTTTACATTTCCTTCCTCCACTCAGCTTTCCAAACCCGGGTGTGTCTCACCGCACATCTCCCATCAGACTCGTCGCAGCTCAAGTGTTCCACAGCCTCATGTGGCGGTTGCGTTGTTAGTGCAGATTTCATTACAACCTTTTTCTTCTCATATTTCAAAAATGGTTAAAATGCAGAATATTCTGTATGTCTTTTTTGGAGGGAGGTATTTTTATTTTTTTTAATTGAATTTATTGGGAAGCAACCAATCGCTGCGTCTCTCTCACATCAATGTCTCCCCCCCCCCCACTCCCCCCCCTGCCCCATCCCTTCCCCTCTCTCTAAACATCAACTGAAAAAATACCCTTGGGAGAGGATTTAAAAATAAAAAATAAAAACAAAAACAAGAACACAGACAAAAGAAAAACAGACTCTTCAAAGCTTCGAGTTAAGGTTGAGGCAGCGAAGTCAGGTCCCAGCATCCTGCTGACCGAGTGCCACCTGGGCCCATGGAATCCCACCAGGAGCTTCCAGGTGGGCTTCCCACACCAACGCTTTTCACTGTGTGAAAGGGGCCTCTCTCACCACATCCCCAGGATTCGGTGAGAAAGGGCCCCACTTGTAAACAAGCTTTTGTTTTACTCCCACTTTAGGCCAGACTTTACACTTGATCTGGAAATTCTTTAACAATGTGCCCATTTCTGCCTTAGAAGCTCTCCCCGGATGGCGGGCAGGGACCGGCTGATCACATTGAGAGTCAAAGAGCTCCCTAAAGTGTGGTGTAAACACAAGGCCCAATGTTAGAGCATGTGAATGGGACTTTCAAACATAACTCTTCCATCTGAAAGCAAATATAACGGAGTGCCAGAATCTATGAAGCCCATAAAACAAATGACGAGAGAGAGGTTCTGGCCTGAACTGCTGAGTTTCGAAAATATGGGCTCATTAAAAACAATTGCTCCTGGAAAAACTCACCGGGGAAGTGTTATCTTTAGTAGGCAAACTTTAGCTATAGAAGCTATTGACTGCTTATGAAGGCAGAGTCTGCCACTGCCGGAGACCAATTCCAGCATGTCATAATTTCAAGAATTTCATCAAAAGGTTGATGAGACTTGGGGACTCAACAGGGTTGGGTCACACATGTAGTCACCTGTTGGGAATGGCTAAAGGCATTTCCCCAAACCTGAATAGGAAACTGATTGTGGCTGCCAGACAGTTAAAGGGCATCTTAATCTACATGTTATTGCCTCCTACTGGCCAAACACCTGAACAGCCGTAGGCTATTCCCCAAACTGACAATGCTTCTGTACCCTTTGAAACCTTACCCTTTGAAGTGTATAATCTCCACCTTGCCTTAGGACAAATTGTGTGAATAAAAGCAAGGGTCCTAGACAAGGAGGGACTCTTCAGTTCCTTCAGCTGAAGGTCCTCTGACCCCCAATGCCTTTCAAAATTATATCTCGTCTCTGGACTCTTTATTAGTCTCTGGATTCCTATGTCATCTAAGGGCAGCCTTTTCCAGATTCCTGAACCCTTCTTGATGCTGAGACAAGACCCCAGCATGCTACTCCATACTGATCAGAGCCATGAACAGTGGCATCAAACCTACTCCAGCCGGGCCCTCAGAGCCACCATCGAGACAGGAACCCACTGAGATGGCATTCTGCCTTGGGTTTTATTCACTCACCTCAGGAAATTTCTTTTTCTGCACATATTCCGTGGTGGCAGCATCAAAATACTTGGCGTAGCCCTCATTGAGGCTGTAAATATTTCCTTTCTTTTTAATTTTGACCTCTTTTTCTACCAGAACAAATTCACCAAGAGCCTAGAAAGTTGAAGAAAAATACCAGTAAGACGGGAGATACCAGGAGACAGAAGCCAGTAGCACACTCCCCGACAATCACAGAACATGAGAAGACGTGGGCCTCCTGGAAGGGCCCAGGGGGTTGCCAAGTCCTTGAGCAGCCTGCCCAGTGATATTTGCATGAGATCAATAAAGAACAGTGACAATATTGAGTCTGCACAGGAAGCATAAGCAGGAATATAACAGGAGATAAAATAATTCAAGGGAAGAGGGAAAGTTTCCTTTGTAACGTTCACGGTCAGCTAGACTACTCAGTACAAGGAACCCAGCTGTATTTATCCCCCAACGTATCACCCTCGGCTAATTCCTAATGTTTTCAGGGAGACTTGGGCCATTAACAATGAGAGAACAAGTTACACAAACAGGGATTTGTCATGAAGGTGGGGAAGGCAGTTCAACCACTAATTTGTGGTCCAGTTATTTTATCTTAATAGTTCAGTCTTGGAAACCATTAAAAGTTCCTGGTATCCCAGTTCTTATCTGGGGTAAAGGAGAAATCTCTTCAATCAGAAACTGTATGCACTTGGCATAAGGAATAGTTGATAAAAATTAAAGAAATCCTTAGAATTATAATAACATTGTGCTCAGTCCCCCATGGTCACTTTCTGTAGGACACCCTCAGGTATCCTGGTATTGAGTATGGTGACATCAATCTTGACAATATTTGACAAAGTAGCTCACAAGTGATAGGCAAAGCATCCAGATTTTAAAGAGAAATTCTGTAAGTTACTAATATTTTCCAAAATCTCTGCTGAACATTTTCAATGTACACTTGCCATGCAAGCTCAGCCTTCTTTTTTGAACTCTTGTGTCTTTATCTAATTATTTCTTCCTTTAGTCAGCATCAGGCTATCAGGTTTCTCAGCTACCCTGAGGCTGTGCATGTCTCACTGGGAGAAATCTGAGCATAACATAACACAGAACCTGGAAAAGCAGTTTCTACCATCTCTCCTCCTATGGGGAAGAACATGTCGATTAGGGGAAGTCTTCCAAACCCAGGCTGTCCAATAGGGTAGCCAGCAGTCACAGGTGGCTGTTCAAGTTCATTAAAATGAAGTAACATTTTCAAACCCGGCTCCTCGGTCCCACCGGCCTCATTGCGGGTGTCCAACAGGCACCCGAGGCCAGCGGCTCCTGCGTTAGACAGCACGCATCACAAAGCATGCCGACGCCACAGGACGTCCTAGTGCGTGGTGCTACTCTAACGAATTCATGTTTCTGTCTGGAAATCGGCAGCACTGCATTCTGAAACCATTGTATTCCGTAAACCAAAGAGGAATAAACTCTGTAAGGGCATGGCCTGAGCTGAGAGGACTGAATCTGCTGAACCCCTCAAATTCCCTCACTTGGACTAAGGTCCTTAACGTTTTGTGATGACACTGTTGGCGCCCCAAACTAGACTCTGGCTCCAGAAGCAAGTACTAATAATAATGACCAGGGCCCTGACTGGGTGGCTCGGTTGGTTAGAGAGTCATCCCAATACCCTAAGGTTGTGGGTCCCATCCCCAGTCAGGGCACATACCAACGAACGCATAAATAAGTGGAACAACAAATCTCTCTCTTAAAGAAACAAACAAACAAATAAATAAATAAATCTATATAATAAAAGCCTAAGCGACTGTTACTGTGGAATGACCAGAACGACTGGCTGCTATGATGCAGCAGGGGCAAACGCTCAATGCAGGAGCTGCCCCCTGGTGGTCAGTGCGCTCCCACAAGGGGAGTGCCGCTCAGCCAGAAGCCGGACTCACAGCTGGTGAGCGCAGCTGCCACAGCAGGAGCCTCTCCTGACTCCTCGGCAGCACTACTGAGCGGCAGCAGCAGGCACAGCAGGCCGGGATGAGCACGAGCGGCGTTCAGCCCTGATTTGGGCTCCTCCCTGGCCGCCTGCCACTTGGCGCACTGCTACATCCCCTGAGGGGTCCCGGACTGCAAGAGGGATGTCCAGGACTGAGAGAGGGTGCAGGCCGGGCTGAGGGACCCTCCCCCCCAGTGCATGAATTTCATGCACTGGGCCTCTAGTAAATAAATAAATAAACAAATAAACAAACAAACAAACAAATAAATTTTTTGAAAAAAAGAAATTATTTAAGAATGACCAGGACATTATGCCAGGGGACTAGAACGGAAGTACAGAGCCCCATGGGGTCCCTCGGGCTGATGCTGCCATATTGGTACTTACTGGGTCAAGCATGAAGAGGTCCACTCCTTGCCCAGTGGAAAGAGCCACGAGGGTGGCACTGCCGTAGAGGGCATAGCCCGCGGCCACGATGTTGCGGCCTGGCTGCAGGGCATCCTTTTCCGAAGGCTCCTCCTCCGAGGTCTGGAGAAGAGAGGAAGGAACAGGGCATTGTCTCTGGAGAGAGCCTTGGCCAAGGCGGGAGCTTCTTAACTCTCCTGAGGAGTAACTTCTAAGAGTAAAATAAAAAGTATTGAGAGGAAACTCTGTATCTTTCAAAATGCTTTCACAGTATGTTTTTGTGAAACAATGGAGAGGCTCTACAACCCTCGTTTGGAAGAGAAGGGTCGGAGGTCAGAAAGGTACTCCCATAACATCTTGAAACCAGTGATCCATAGGCTGGGGTTGGACCCACGTCTCCCGTAGCTAAGCCAGCGTCGTTCTGAACAACTAACAAAATATGGGGCCAGTTTGCCCTCCGCGAGTAACAGCCTAACAACTTTATTTTAAAAGCAATCTCATCTTCTTTAAAGGTTTCTTTAAAATGTCACTTTCCCTTTAATATTTTTCTAGGGCTACAAGTTAATTTAATTAAAAATGGCATGTTCCTTTCAATATTTTTCCTTACTTTTGCAATCTTGCATTCTTTCTAACACATTTTTGTTTTTACAAATAATTATGTTTTCATTTGACTGTGTGTATGTGCTTAATGATTTGGCTTTATGTACAGATTCCCAGGCCACACACGGATGCTGAGAAGCAGGCCCCAGCGCAGTGGACGGCAGCGTCAGCATCACTCGGGATCTCGTTGGACGGGCATATTCTTGGGCTGTGCCCCCGGCCTCCAGAGTCAGAAATGCTGGGCCCTCAGGTAGTTCCACAGAAGTTTCAGAACCACGGCTCCAGAGCGTGGTCTCCTCAGAGACGTAGACGGCAAAGGTGGTATTAGGTTTTTTAATTCAAAGTCTTAAGTCATCTCCACTGGAGCTTTTGAAATACCTTTGCTCATCCACCAAAAGGATCACATTTTCTTCATGTGAAACCAGAGTTCTCCCAGAGCGGAGGTTTTCCTTTCTCTGAACCGTGAGCCTGCGGCCTCCGCAGGGCAACACACTCTCTCCTCGGTCCTTGGAAACTTGCACTGTGGCTTGAAGAAAATCCCTCCTCCCCAACTGGCTCCACTGGCCTTTATTGACTTGTAGCATCCCTGGCCTTGAAAAAAAATAACAAGAAATACTTTCTAGATCACAAGGCTTCCCTCCAGCGATTGCCCTGTCTCTGTCTTCATCTACATCCTGGAGACCAGGATGCCTGTCTACACTACCTTCCTTCTCCTGTCCCCACAGCAGGCTGATCCTACCTACTAAATCTGATGCTTGTTTTCCAGGCTTCCTCTTACCTGACCTCTAGGCAGTGTTGGATCCGTTGGCTGCTGCCTCCTGCTTGAGATGTGTCTCTCCGGAGCTTCTGTCCACTTCCCTCTTGTCTGGCTTTCTTTCTAACTCTCTAGATGTGTCTTCTCATTTGCTTTTCCCAACTCCTCTTCTTAAATGTTGGTGTTCCTTCTGGTTCCTCCCCAGTGTCTACCCAGTGCAAAATGGACCTCTAAATCGTCACCCTCTCCAGAATGGGGACTCTCAGCTGCTATATTTGTGCTATGAGTCCCAAACCCTCCCCACAAGTTTAATGGGGTCTGGGATGGATTCCTGCCCCAAACTGGCCCAATCAGAGTTTCTGCTCCAGAAATATGTATTTGGGGCTAGAACATTCTGGTTGATGGCAACTTAGGAGCATTGGGGTGATCTTTCTTCTGTCATGGGCCAGAGAATCAGAAAAAACTGGTCCGCAGAGAGAGGAAAGAGTACAGTGGCCATGGGAAGATAAGATGAGAGACTTTGACCCTTCTGTGGCCCAGGCCCTGTCTGAGGCTGGCCATATTTCTGTCTTGGGGCTTCCTGACTCGTCCCTGCCATTTACACCGGAGTCCTGACTAATAAAGCTCTCTTCTCTTCTCCGTCTACACACTCCTCGGCCACCTCACCCACAACCAAAGTTCCAAGCCCTACACAGGTGCCCGCGCCTCCCAGACCTCCATCTTCATCTGTCCTGATGGCCCAGCTCTTGGAGCCACCTGCCCACCAGACATTCTTACTCAGGTCCCACAGATGTCTCAAGCTCAACATGTCAAATATGGAATTCATCTGCCCTGTCTCACTCCCCCAAATTTCCACTCTTCTTCCATTGCTCCCCATCTGAGCAAATGGCACCATCATCTGACCAGTGGAAACCTGGAAATCACCCTTCCCTTCCTTCCACTAAGTCCAGTCAGTTCGACAACCCACTCTTCACAGGCCCCTGCCCTCCTGCCTATCCTCACCACTACCCCTTGGTCCGAGTGACCATCACCCCCTGCCTGGTCCTCCCACTCCATCCTTGCTCCACTCTGATCCATGTCACTTCTCTCTTTAAAACCCTTCATTGATTTCCCATGGCCTCGATGTCCAATGTTCTTCAAATATAAAAAGAACTCATAAATCAATAGCAAAAACACAAACTATATGATTAAAAAATGGGCAGAGGAATTGCTAGACATTTTCCAAAGAAGATATACAAAGGACTAACAGGTACATGAAAAGATGGTCAAAATCATCAATTATTGGGGAAATACCAATCAAAATCACAATAAAATATCACCTCGTACCTGTTAGAATGGGTATGATAAAAAGATAAGTAGTAAGTGTTGGCGAGGATGTGGAGAAAAGAAAATCCTTGTGCACTGCTGATGGGAGTGTAAGTTGGTGCAGCCACTATGGATACACTATGGAGGTTCCTCAAAATTAAAAATAGAATTATCATATGATCTAGCAATTCCACTTTTGGTTATATGTCTAAAGGAAATTAAATCACTATCTTAAAGATATATCTGCACCTCCATGTTCATTGCAGTATTCACAAAAGCTAATACATGGAAATACCTAGGTGTCCATCAATGGATGAATTGACAAAGAAAAAAATATATTTATATTTATATAATGGAATGTTTTTTGGCCACAAAAAAAGGAAAGAAGAAAATCCTGCCATTTGCAGCAACATGGATGGAACTTGAGGGCATTGTGCTAAGTGAAAAAATCAGAAAGAGAAAGACAAATACTACATGAGCTCACTTATATGTAAACTCTATAAAAAACAAACTCATAGAAACAGAGAATAGATTGGTAGTTGCCAGGGACAAAGGGTGGGGGACTGGGGAGAAATGGGTAAAGGTGGTCAAAAGGTACAAGCTTCCAGTAATAAGATAAATAAGTTCTCGGAATAAGGTAGATAGCATGGTAACCACAGTTAATAATGTTGTATTATACATCTGAAAGTTGCTGAGAGAGTACGCCATAAAATTCTCATCACAAGAAAAAACATTGCAACTATGTAAGGTGATAGATGTTAAATAAGGGCAAGATGTTATCGTCTTGATCATTTCACAATATATACATATACCGAATCATTATGTTGTACACCTAAAACTAATACAACGTCACATGTCGATTATATTCCAACACTGGGGGAGGAGCTATTAAGAGCTGCCCTGATGAAGGTAGGATGCCTATTTGAATCCCTGTCCTGGCTGGTGATGTTAATGGAGTTACTTACCTCCTCTATACTTCAATTTGTTCACCAATTTTAAAAAAAGCGACAGAAGTATGTGTGCCTCCCCTGGGGCTGAGGTGCGGACTGACCCGGAGCCCTGAGCTGAAGGAGGAAGAGCAGAGGCTGACTCGTGCTCTTTTTCAGAATCTCATAACTAGCACACCAGCGATCTCTATTTTTATTGTAAGCTGTACCTCGAAAGGGGAAACGAAGCTCCTTCACTCACCTAGCTCATTTCTGCGTAAACTCGAAACAGCATCTTAGTCTTTAACTTTCTCAGATACCAGAGAAGTGTCTTGAGTCCTCCTCTCCTCCCTCATGAAAGTCTCCCTGTCTCTCTTCAATACAAAAGGAGACACACCGACCCCGCGGAGGTGTCCTCTAGCCCATGCGGCCGTGGCTCCCATTCTGTTCTCCGAGGCAGGAGGCGTAGGCCACTGGTCTGCGCCTTGCTTTTCTTCTCAGAGAGAAAGGTCAGGCTAATTCATATATTCTGCCAAGGTTAGTTTTCTGCTAAGCTTTTGCCCTGAAAATCAAATTTTTGCCCCTTTTTTGGGACAACCATCAGCCGAGCATCATCCATGTGTGCCGACAGCACCTTGGCTGGCACGAGGCTTACCCAATCCTCCCCGCGTTGGTTTGACCGTAGGGAGTTTAGTGGGAAGAGTGTGTACCTGCAGTCAGAGAGATGGGCCTCAAAAGCCAGTCCCAGGGCAAGTTACCCAGCTGAACAACCCTGAGACCCTCAGGTGCCGCTGGCCTCCTTCTGCCCAAAGCCATCCTGATCGGAGCAAGGACTCACTCGCAAGTTGAGGAGGAGTGTGCACTATGTGGTTGTCATGAAGTTTCTGATGGTCACAGACTGACCCAGGGGATCTCACGGATGCTAGGAATGTGGAGCTGATGGAACGGCCCAAAGATACCCTACTTCCCAGAACCTGGGACCAGTTTGTGTTACATGGCAAAGGGACCTTGCCGATGTCATTGGAGTTTACCTATTTGAATAGCAGCTTACCCGGGACTCTCCGGTGAACCCAACTCTGATCAGATGAACTGTTGAAAGCAAAGCCATTTCTGTGGCTGGAGGCAGGGCACTGGGGCAAAGTGAAGGTGTCTGAGAGCCCAGAGGCGTGAGAAGGGCTTGTCCTGCCTTCGCTGGCTTGACGGACACAGGAGTCACAAGCCAGGCAATGCCGGAAGCCTCCAGAAACTGAGAACGACCCCCAGCACCGGCCAGCCAGGAAGCAAGGACCCCCACAACGCCACAGAGCCTGGCAGGATGCTGCCCCACAGCCCCGGCCCTCGATCCGAGGCCAGGCTGGCTGGCACGGGGTTTGCCCTTGGGAGACGCTGAGCAGAGAACCAGCCACACCTGCCAGGCTTCCGACCCAGGAAACCAGGAGATGGCAAGGGGGCGTCCTTTTAAGCTCTAAGTTGTCATGGCAGCAACAGAGAAGGAATGCAGTCAGTTGTGAGACACACAAAGGAGAAACGTGCCGCCTGGAGCCCACTCGGTGTCTGATGTCTGTGTCTCCTTCAGGTTTTTAAACAAGGCCCGCCTGTCCCCTCCCTTTGCCGTCCCGAATGCAGTGCCCGGGAGAGGGGGATGGTCGCTCCGGTTCCTTCAGCGGCACCTGGGGCGGAGCGGGCTTCACGACCTGCCTACCCGCCTCTCTGCTTAGTGGGAGGACAGAGGTTAGCCCTCCAGACTCGTGGCTCCCAGGCCAGGCACCTTCGGGAAACCACCAGAGCAAGGAGGCATGAAAGGTCAGACGGCCACTCACCTTCCTGTAGATGGCAAATATGGTGCCAATGGAGGCCAGACAGTCGATGTTGGAAGATCCATCCAGGGGGTCAAAGCAGACCACATACTTCCCCTAGATGCACAGAGGGAGAGCCACTCCGGTCAACACAGTCTATGTGCGTGGCTGTGCGGGGCAGATAACATACTGATAGCGCCAGAAAGTGATTGCGAGCAAAGGGATGTTCTTATCAAACAATGCAATTACTTAAGGAAGCAGAGTGGACCAGCGTATGTGAACTGTGCCGCTCAGTGCCTACCTCCCACCACAGAGTAGGTAAGGCCACACAGAGCAGTGGAGGGCCCTCCACCTCCAAAAAGCTTTCCCCCTGCCTCCTCTGGCCCCTCCTACCTGGGCCCCCCAACTTGGAGCTGCTGAGGCTGGGAGAGGAAGGTCTGAAGTGGGCATCTTGCAGGGAAGAGGTGGGCAAGCTGAGGATAAACTTGGACTCACTCCACCCACATCCACAGTAGGGCCAGTTAGAGATTTTGTTGTTGTTGTTGTTACAGATTTATTGATAATGCTTTCTGACTCTGTTCCCAGTTTTTTTTCCCTTCATTTTTGAGCATTTTTGCCAAAAGTAAAAAATCAGGAAGTCTCAGAGCAATGCCCAGGCCCTGTGGGTCTTATTAAGATAGCTGCTATGCATAGATACCTCAGAGGAATAAAAATACTCCTCTGCATCCAGCGCCTGCTGTCCTGAAGACCAGAAGACAGAGCGGGGTGTCTGTGATACCACGCTCCTCACGCCCACCCACACTGCTCCCACACGCAGCTCCAGCCTGCATTGCACGAGGAGAAGTCACCAGGTACTTCTTACAGGCCCCCTTTGTGCCAGGCCTATGCAAGCCTGATAGATGAGGACTGGGTCTCCTGGCTAATTAAACGCGGTAATAAAATGTGAGCCTTGCCCTGGCCGGTTTGCTCAGTGGACCGAAGGGATGAGAGTTCGATTCCGGTCAATGGCACATATCTCAGATGCAAGTTCAATCTCCAGCCCTGTCGGGGCACGTGCGGGAAGGCAACTAATTGATGTGTCTCTCTCACGTGGATGTTTCTCTCTTTCTCTCTCTCTCTCTACCCTCCTTCTCACTCCCTTCCACTCTGTCTATAAATCAATGGAGGAAATATCCTCAGGGGAGGAGTAAAAAAATTCCACAAAACTTGAGCCCTGGCTGGGTAGCTCAGTTGGTTATAGTATCATCCTGATACGCCAAGGTTGTGGGTTTGATCCCTGGTCAGGGCACATACAAGAACCAATGAATGCACAACTAAGTGGACAACAAATTGATGTTGCTCTCTCTCCCCACTCCTCTTTACTCTCTCTTTTTTTCCTCTCTCTAAAATCAATAAATTAAAATAAAAAATAAAATAATACATATTCCTTTAAAAAAAACCTTGAAGTGAAATGGGAATCATTGCCGAAACCGGTTTGGCTCAGTGGATAGAGCGTCGGCCTGCGGACTGAAAGGTCCCAGGTTCGATTCCGGTCAAGGGCATGTACCTGGGTTGCAGGCACATTCCCAGTGGGAGATGTGCAGGAGGCAGCTGATCGATGTTTCTCTCTCATCGATGTTTCTAACTCTCTATCTCTCTCCCTTCCTCTCTGTAAAAAATCAATAAAATATTTAAAAAAAATAAAATGGGAATCATTTCTACTGCCACTACAATTACTTTCCCATGACTTTCCAAGGGTAACGCCCTCCCTTAAGTTGAGCTTTATTTCCTTTTCTCCCCTTGCTCAACAGGGGGAGAGGGCACAAAAAGTGGGGTAATTCATAAACTTGGAAATTTCCCATTCTCCCTGAGAATAATCCAGCTTAGCCCATTCATTCATTCATGCATTCAATCAATATTTGTTGGGCATCTGTCATATGTTGGAAAATATTTAAGGAACTTATATGGAAAGAGGCATGGAGTATTCAAGAATTAGCATGAAGACATGTGCAACTCAGGCCAGCTGGGAAAGAAAACAGTAGATCACACTGGAGAGAGAATTGAGTGTCATATCAGTGGAAATTGAAAGTTGAAAAGAATAGGTGTGATGTAGCTTAAATTATATAACAAGAAGAGTAGAGTGTTTTTTCATAGTCCCTGGCATACAGTAGGTGCTTAATAAATTTGGCTTTCCCTTTTCCGTCCTACCAGCTAATCATAAAGAAATGGCACTTCGTCCCTAACACCCAACGTATAAATCAAGGGCCAATAGTCCCAACATGTATCTGTATTTCTGTATCACAGCTGAACATGGTTGAATTTTTTGGCCACCAGCAAACCTCTCTCTTTAGTAAACTGTCCATGAAACCAGAGTGAATATGGACCCTCCAAGCCATGCCCTGCACTAACCAAGTTGACCATTACATCAGTGCAAGAGAGCCACCATCTTTATGATTTCTATATTAGTCTGACAGTGTGTCGGGAATGAAGAAACCTCTATTGAACCCATAACCCCCTTGAGGAAGTGGGGGGGGGTATAGAAATGGAGAGGGGAAAAGTAAGAAGCTGTATAGTAAGGCTTTTCCCAGGAACTCTACTCTTTACTGAACTCGATGATTTTCACTTCCCCCCAAAACGCCAGTACTAGTCACCGATGGGTACGTTAAATGAAAATCCATGAACTCCACTGCACAGATGACCTTTACTGCTGTCTCCAGCAGTAAAGGTGTCCGGGAAATGCTGGGCCCTCTGTTTACCCGTCTGTGACAGTTTAACTCTCTGTGGCCTCAGGTTTGGCTGGCTACCCAGAAAGCCGGAATGCCGCCCACAGATAAACGCCAGGCCCCGGAAAGAGGTTTATGATGTATAGAGTGTGGATAACTGCCTAATGTACCTGTTAGCTTAGGAATGCCTTGTTCTTGCTGGTGGTCCATGTGACTACCCACCACACGGTTTAATATTAACCCCCGTGAGAAAGAGGCCCTGTCCTGGGAGGGTGTCTTTGGAGCCAGATGGGATCAGGCAGTTTAGGGCCAGGGCCGTGGGGAGGGAAGATGGTAGTTAAGGAGGGAATGAGCCAGATGGTCATGTGAGCAAGATAGGTGGGATGTACCAGTCAACCGCAGAGCTGCCCTTCCCCCTGAACCCAAGAGTGGGAAATGAAGGCAAAAGAGATTGGCTGGTGTTTTTTTGAAAAAGCCAATAGAGGGCAAGAGAGGAACATATAAACCTGTAGACTAGTGAGCTTCTGCGGGAATCCTTCTCGGGACCCCTCTCCCGTGCTGACAGCTTTGTTACTTTTGCTGTAATAAACTTTGCTTCCCTTTGCTTACCCCTCCCTTGTCTGTGAATTCTTTCATCAACTTCTGGAGACAACAAACCCAACAGCTCAGACTCGAGTCCCACAGCCACTGGGAACAGCTGCTTTGCGCTTGTATGTGAGTTTCTCCTATTAAAGCTCCTATGAATTTGGATAAGGTTATGTGTCAGTTCTTCAGAATCAATCCTGAATTTAGGCTTTTGGGGCTTTACCCTGACACGCACCCCTTGAGGCATCTCAGTAAACCACTCTGATTTATATTCTGAATGAGTCACTGTCCTGCTATGGAGTTGTTGTTTTTTGTGTTTGTTTGTTTTTTGTTTTGTTTTGTTTTTTGCAAGACAGCATAAGACTTCCAACTAAAGAAGCATGCAGTAGTTTACAGAAAACAAAGTAAACTAAGCAATAGGCAGCGGTTCTCAACCTGTGGGTCGCGACCCCTTTGGCGGTCGAACGACCCTTTCACAGGAGTCACCTAAGACCATCCTGCATATCAGATATTTACATAACAATTCATAACAGTAGCAACATTACAGTTATGAAGTGGCAACGAAAATAATTTTATGGTTGGGTCACAACATGAGGCACTGTATTTAAAGGGCCAGAAGGTTGAGAACCACTGCGAGAGGACAATCCCAGAAACAGGAAATGGAAGGCAACAATCTTCTCAACTCAGTATCACCACCTAGTGGTGATGAGCAGAACTGCACCCCCTTCCACACGCACCCTCTTGTCCTTGGGGGTGATTATCGCCTCTTTATTCTCCTCTGAGACCAGTACACAGGTGCTGTAGGAGGACTGGAGCATGTTGATCACCAGGGAGTTGGACAACACATCCAGTTTCTTCACCTCATCCCCTGTCACGTTCACACTTCCCGCAATCCCATACCTAAGAAGACACACACAAAAAAGTTGATTGACATCACTGAAGATCCTGAACTCCAACAAACAAGTCCAGACACGAACACAGCACAGTATGTCTACCTTTCCCTTCGTGGCTCCGGGGTCTCCAAATGATAAACACAGCCCAAGTATGGCCTGTCCCACAGCACTGATCCTCAGCCTTGCTTCCTGTACACCTCCAGGGTATATTGTCCCGGTCCCTGTTCTCCCAACATGCTAACCAGAATTCAGTGTTACTAGTTTACAACCCTGCCCTGGGCTCCCACTGCTGAAGAGTTAGAGCGCTAAAGTCAGACAGCCCTCTAATTAATGATCCAAAAAAGTGAAGAACCACGACTTTCCAGCCCTGGAATTTCAATATTTATTATTCAATATTCTCAAATAGTGGCCTGCTGGGATGAATTAAAAATCACCCTGCTATAGAATGGTTTTACTTGAATAAGAAGGAAATTTGGAGACAGACTTAACAAATTTAATATGGTTTTTCACTATCTCTTTTCAAACAATATCAGAAAAAGCACGACTATATAATTCTATGTAGGGTTTTTGTGTTTTAGAGTATTAACATGCAAAGGTCTCAGACCTGCCACCCTTACTGGAGGGATCCTTCTAATATTTGAGTCAGATCACCCGTCTACCCAGAGTTCCCAAGTCCCCACCATGGCAGGGGAACCCTCAGGCCCTCCCAGCAATGCCTGTTCCCACGCTGGCATTGTCCCTTTGCCTCTCACCCTCACTTGGCCAGTCTCGGCCTCCAGACCCACTGGACACACACCTGCCTTATGACCAAACCTGGGTTTGCTGCCCCGCCCCCATGCTCTGCCCTCCAAGAGCTGCAAGGCTATCACCCCCTCACGCCTTTTGCATCCCAACAGCTGCCCAGGTCCTGTGGCCCCAGCACCCCGCAAGCTTTCCCCTCATTTTCACCTTCACTCATGGCTCTGCCCCCACAGGAGCACTCCCAGCACAGGCAGCGTTTCCCTGCCGACCCCCTGACCTGCTCCAGAAGCTCCCCGTTCCCCCTCCGTGCTCCCACCACACACCAGGCACACCCCGCCATCCCATCCGCAGCGGCTCACCATCTACTCATGGGAGTGTCTTTCCCGCTAGGTTATCTGCCTGCTGAAACTCTGTTTATTTCCTCAGTATTCAGAGTCATAGAGATGCTCGATACCTATCCACTGAATGGTGACTAAAGGATGCGGAACAGTAGTCTCTCTTCCTCTCCCTTTTAAACACCATTCATTTGTTGAGGAGAATCCCCAGGTGGATTAACAGGTAGCCTGGGTTAAGAACCTTCGATTTAAATCCTTCCTCACCCTCTTCCCTGACTGATCGCGTCCCCCTTCCCGGCAGCCCTCCCCCATCATTCCATGTCTGCTGTGATGTCATGTGCTGAGCCAGCTGCCTTGGAAAACAATACCCATAGCCTGGTTCAAAATAAAAGCAAATAAACAAATAACAGCAATAGCAAAGCTGGGTTATTGTGCATCGGAGTTTAATGTGGATTCTTGAGGCGGATGCTGCGGGGGGATAAAGAGTGGGGGTTCCCCAGGTCGCTGGTGGGCAGAGATGAAAAACAGGTTCTCTGCCCTGTGCTTGCAAGCCCCCCCCCCCAACACCCCACAGAACACACCCTTACCACCCTCAACAGGCCCCTCCCCTGCCCCCAGGCGCTGGGTGCCCTGCACCCACACCCCTGCTTCCAGAAGGGGGAGGCTCATGCACAATGAGGACTCATTGCCCAGCAGCCCCTCCGGTGAGAGCCTGGGTGGGGGTGCTCCACCCCCAGGACAACCCCTGCTAGCGCTTGAGCTAGCGCTAAGGCCTTCCTGGCCATGTGTAAGTGGGATGTCCCATCATCTCGACAAGAAAAGCCATGGAGAGGTTTTCAGGCGAGGCCTTCTAGCATTCCCTTCTTTCCACGGCAAGGAGTGGAGAAAAAGGAAGGGAAGCGAGAATGTCTGCCCCCTTTTAAGTTGTATAAATACAGCCTGTGCCTAGAAATGTCTTCCCAAAAAGAGGAAGCGAAGGACGAGGGGCCTGAGGCCCCTGAAGGGGAAGCGGCAGGAGCCGGTGGAGTCCCCTCTCCTGAGCAGACTTCCTCTGGGACAGCGTGCAACCCGGTCGCTCTCTGAGAAGCAATCCCAGGGGCCTCTTCAAATCATCTCAGCATCTTGCTAGAAAGAAGGAATTTCCAACTGGACTGCTCCCACTGCCACTGTGGGTGCTTTCGCAGAGGAGCGGGGAAGGCTGCTGTCTGAATGGGCAGAAAGTGGAGTCCTCCCCGCAGACCAAGGAAAACTCAGCCCCCCAGCAAATGTGGCTCTTGACGTCGTTTCCACGGGCGGCGCCTGCCACCTAGTGGTCAGTGTGAAGCATCGACCAACCAGTTGGCAAATTTCCCCAGGTCTGGGCTTTAAACTGTTGTAATAAAGAGCATTTACTGAGCATTGAGGGCTGGCACTGTCGAAATCATCATCGCATGGACTTACCCTTACAACAACCCTACAAGCTAGGGGCTATCACTATCCTCTCCCTTTTACAAATGGGGAGACTGAGGTCCTGGTGAGATGGAGGAGTGCCCACGATCTCAGGGAAGGAAAAGCCAGGTCAGATGAGCACCTTCATTATCCAATTCCCGAACCCACTTCATCTGGACATTCAACGGCCAGAGAGTCAGTTCTGCAGCTGACTGATCTGACCCCACCATAGCGGCCGCTGCCACGCACGTCCTGCCAGAGCAGGAGCCCAGTGGACTTGGGTGAATAACACTTAGATGCCAGCAGGAGAGGGCACCAAGCAAAGCAGGGCCCACATACAGGGAGAGGCACGTCGCCGCCTAGTGTCACTCAGCAGCCCCATCACCTGGCAGGCGCAGGGCAGGGCAAGTGGCTGCACTCACATTCGTGAAGGTCCTGGAGTGTAGAGCTTAGCGTTACCTCCAAGTGACAGCAATGCAGGGTGGGAAAAGCGGACCACAGGCATCTTTACCTGGATCCCATTAATGGGACACAAAACTGTGTGTCAGTAATTATGTAATTATCTTGTGGTAATTACATCCTGTCATATAATGCTATCACGCTTTTGTGTTAAAAGCACTACATTGTTTTGTTTTTTATTTTCTGTTTTGTTTTGTTAATCCTCACCCGAGGATATTTTTCCCCATTGCTTTTTGGAGAGAGTGGAAGGGAGGGGGAGTGACAGAGAGAAACATCGATGTGAGAGAGACACATTGAATGGTTGCCTCCCACATGCTCCCTGACTGGGGCTAGGGATTGAACCTGCGACTGAGGTACGTGCCCGACCCGACCCTTCAGTCTGTAGGCTGACACTCTAACCACTGAGAATACCGGCCAGGGCTATTTTATTTTTCTCATTTAGTTTATTGTTATTGTTGAAAGTATTACAGATGTCCCTTAAAAAAATAAATTGTTAATAATAAAATTTTAAATATAGGACTTTGTTATTTCTTCATTTTAAGGTAATAATAATCCTATATAATAAAAGGGTAATACGCAATTTAACTGAATGGTGGAATGACCAGTTGCTAAGATGCACACTGACCACCAGGGGGCAGATGCTCAACACAGGAGCTGCCCCCTGATGGTCAGTGCACTCCCACAGGGGGAGTGCTGCTCAGCCAGAAGCCAGGCTCACAGTTGGCGAGCGCAGTGGCAGTGGCGGGAGCCTCTCCCGCCTCCGTGGCAGCACTAAGGATGTCCGACTGATGGCTTAGGCCCCCTGGGCCCACTCCCCCCCCCTCCCCCGCCATCAGTCAGACATCCCTGAGGGCTCTGGATTGCGAAAGGCACAGGCCGGGCTGAGGAACCCCTCACCCACCAGGGTGTAGGCATCAAGACTGAAAGCTCGGCTCAGCCCGTACGGCTG